TTTAACACCTTCCACATTTGCATACATTTTCCCATTAAGATGGTGTTGCAGCGAACACAAAAGATGGTAATCTGGTGATGCCATATCTGGAGAATATGGTGGGTGGGGGAGAACGATTGAAGGGTTTGATTTAAACATTCCAGTTGCTGACTATAGATATCTGTAGTGACAGTTCACTGTGGATTGAGGAGTTTGAAATGAATTACTCCTTCAATGTCCCACCAAATGCAAAGCATCACTTTCTGCAGATGGAGTCCAAGTTTTGGGGTTGGAAATGGTTTTTGTCTAGAACCGAGCCATTGTTTTTGGCATTTTAACATTTGCACAGAATATCCATTTTTCATCACCAGTAACAATTCTGTCCAAAAATGGTTCACACACCAGAAGAGATGAAGCAAATGTTCACATGTTGGAAACGATAATCATCAAAGAGTTCGTGAGGCACCCAAACACCTTCTTTATGGAGTTTTCCCATATCCCTTAGATTTTTACATGTTGTTTCATGAGAAACATGCAATTTCAGGGCCATTTCACGAGTGTGTTGCTTTGGGTTAGACTCAAGAGGCATCTTCAGAGCATCAATATCAATTCCAACATGTCGGCCCCTGCCATTAGTTTTTAAGGCTAAAGTCACCTGAACGAAAGTTGCTGAATCATCGTTGACACTTATGAACATTCAAAACATTTCCATAAACTTCTTTGATATTCTTTGTGGCAACAGAGGCGTTGTTTTCTTTCTTGTATTCAAACAGCATTACATGCTGAATGTGTGTCTCGTCGTGTGCCATCACTATAATGTATTAGAGTATACTAAACTTTATACATTATATAGGCTACACTAACGTGACATTTAGAAACTTTGTTTAACTATTATACGTGATGTTACGTTTTTTTTTGGGGGGGGGAGTTAATGAAAGTGTTCCAAAATGGGACATTAATTTCTTGATGACCTAATATTAATTTATTTATAATTTATGTCTATATTTTATTATCCTTTGAATCATGTCTAACTAATAATCCTACCACACAAGTTGTAAGTGAAATGGCAAACATGTAGCTCAAGTTGCTGTATTTAATGATGTACCACGAGCTCTTCACAAGCATACCTTGTGAAGAATTATTACTACTTTTTCAATCTAACCTAACAAGTTTCTAATTTTTACATTTTAGCTACTTTTATAATAATAAATAAAGAATAAACATGCAAAAAAGAGAAATAAAGTACTATTTTGTGTCCTTTTGTTTTTGTGTCGTCCGCTGACAATGTAATTTAAGCCAACTTTTTTTTTTATACTAATAATTTTAGTATACTAAACAATTTTTTATTTACTTAAATATAATAACACACAATAACTGGCTTTTTAACTATGGCATAAGAGCCTTTAAAATGTAGCTAAGCTTGTCGATCTGAACACCGAGAGAGAAACTATCAAACTGAAAATAAAATAGACAATACTCTGTCTTTCTATTGGTTATAAACAATACAGTATAAAATGTCAGAAACTATTGACAATTTGTAAAAAAAGAGGATGTATCAGGTGGGTGTGGCAAGTGGTCTAATTTTCTAGTTTATGACTGTAAACGAATACAACTCAAGGAGTACTCCCAGGAGTGGTTGTAAATAAATTGAGACCCACAGAACAAATGTCACAATTCTCATATTAGAGGATATATAATATTAAAATTTGATTTATTAACTGTGTTTTGATGTCAAGTTTATTTGTGTAATGATAATAAAGCAGTTTAAATTTTGAATATAACTATTTAAAAATACACGACAAGCACACTTTGACCTACCCGTAGCGACAGTTAAATAGTACCTACTTTTGGCTTAAGAACATTCATATAGTAAGATTTTTTCCATAATTTTATTAGATTGTGAAACTGCCAAAATACCATTGTGAAATACTGTTGTTCCACTGTGAAAAATGCCATTGTTCCATTGTGAAATACTGTTGTTCCATTGTGAAAAATACCATTGTGAAATACTGTTGTTCCACTGTGAAAATTCCATTGTGAAATACCGTTGTTCCATTGTGAAATACCATTGTTCCATTGTGAAATACCATTGTTCCATTGTGAAAAATACCATTGTTCCATTGTGAAATACCGTTGTTCCATTGCTAAATATTGTTGTTCCATTGTGAAATACCGTTGTTCCATTGCTAAATACTGGTTGTTCCATTGTGAAATAACATTGTGAAAAATACCATTGTTCCATTGTGAAAAATACCATTGTTCCATTGCTAAATACCGTTGTTCCATTGTGAAATACCATTGTTCCATTGTGAAATACCATTGTTCCATTGTGAAATACCGTTGTTCCATTGTGAAATACCGTTGTTCCATCGTGAAATACCATTGTTAAAAGAATGCTAAATACTCATATATTGTTTAATTTAGTACTATTCTTCATTAAATTTTATATAAATATAGTTACTTCCAACTTGACTGATACACTGGTCACCACTTCAGTTATAAATCATAAACACACAGTAAAGATCTAATGGTGTGAAAGAATTGGGTGTTTTTAAGTGAATTTTACAATTACTTCAGTACAATTTTTATAAAAAGAAACTAAAGAAAAATAAGTTTTCTTAATGTGGTACATCTACATAAAGAAGTAAGCATGCCTGTATTACGAAACTGGGTCAAGAGCTAGGCGAATCACAGTTAGCTGGTTAGTTAGTAATGAGTGTATTACGAAACTGGGTCAAGAACTAGGCGAATCACAGGTTAGTTAGTAATGAGAATCATGAGTTAAAAGGTATAAAAAATGTCACGAATTTAACAGTGAAAAGTTACTGATGCTGAGTTAGTAGCACTGTAGAAGCAACTAAAAAGGTTATGATAGCAAGTAAAATCAGCACTTTGATGCAAGATTCATTACTACAGCCTGGTGTAGTAATATAAGCGAGAAGGCAACCGAAGCACTCACCATCACAGTAACCAATTACTTGAGAGTTTTGGTTCTTTTTTTTAGTGTTAAAACTACTTGTAGGTAGTTAGGACTACTATTTGGAAAATCAAAAGAATACAAAGAAAATATAGTATAAAAACTCATGTCTGGAGCTAAAAATCTCCAGGAAGAATTGAGGTTCTTCCAGAGCTGATAACAGTTTCCACTATGAATATGAAGATATCCAACCTCCAGTCACACCTCGTTGTAGGTATAGAATTGCTATTTCTCTTATTCAAAGTATTCATATAAAGGAAGTTAATGATTATAGCAGAATGAAATATTATATGTGAACTATATTGGTTAATAGTGCTTAGTTTCAAAGTGAAAGTTAGATTCTTAAGAAGTGTTTAACTGCTGTATATGAAAGTTAATGATTATAGCAGAATGAAATATTATATGTGAACTATATTGGTTAATAGTGCTTAGTTTCAAAGTGAAAGTTAAATTCTTAAGAAGTGTTTAACTGCTGTATATGAAAGTTAATGATTATAGCAGAATGAAATATTATATGTGAACTATATTGGTTAATAGTGCTTAGTTTCAAAGTGAAAGTTAGATTCTTAAGAAGTGTTTAACTGCTGTAATTAAAAGTGTATATTATGTGTAAGAATTGAAATAAATTTGATGTTTTTTGTTGAACATCACTCTCAGAATCCATTTCTTTAGTCTAACCATAAATTACCTTGAGTTAATGACTTGTGAGCTCCACTTGCCACTGCAATCCTCAATTAACTAAATTTGGTATAATTGGCAGTAAAGTCGAGGCTCCAACAACTAGCCCTAAGGGCACTGCCTGTTACAGGTGACCTCAAGTTTCATCATTAAGTATAGAAAACAATAACCTTAGTCAAGATCAATTTATATCCAATAAATGTAACAATAATATTCAAGATATCAGGATTTAAGTTACTGGAATGTACTTACTAAATCTAACTACACTTACCTGATGTCTTGTCTGTACCCTTCATAAGATATAATTTATCATGAAAAAATTTTCATGAATGAAAAAAAATGTCTAAATAAACTACAATTTGATATGTGAAAAATACTATAGAGTTAATGTGTTTTCAGTATCACGTTTACATTTTAGCGAACCAAACTTACATGTAGCCACAATCAACAGTTAATAAAACAGTATAATTTTAAGTGGTTTACCTGCAATTCCTGAACTTGTTCATTATTTTTCTTTTGGAGAGTCTGTACTCTTGTTCGTGCTTCTTTGTCAGAAGTAGACTGTTTGGCCTTTAATTCAGTAATCTAAAATATAATAAATACACATACCACATTTTTATTTTTTTCTTTCTGTAAAGAAATACATAATAAATGAAGACTTGGGCTTTCTCGGAACATGTAGAATTGGTACATCTAATTACCATCAAGGTGTAATTAATGATGCACAAAACTGTGCTGGCTCCTAATTAACTGTATCATAACCACTAATAATACATCAACACATGTAGTTTTCATTTCTAGATATTAAAATGTTTTTCTCAAAGACATTAAAATATGATGAAAAATTCTTAATATAACAACTACTTACTGCATTAAATAAAATACAACCTACTGAGAATCTTGAACATAAACATTTATAATAGCCTCAAACATAAACTACCATAAATAGTACTAAACTAAACATATAATTATTTATAATAGCCACAAACATAAACTACCATAAATAATACTAAACTGAACATATAATTATTTATAATAGCCTCAAACATAAACTACCATGAATAATACTAAACTGAACATATAATTATTTATAATGGCCTCAAACATAAACTACCATAAATAATACTACACTAAACATATAATTATTTATAATAGCCACAAACATAAACTACCATAAATAATACTATACTAAACATATAATTATTTATAATAGCCTCAAACATAAACTACCATGAATACCACTATACTAAACATATAATTATTTATAATAGCCACAAACATAAACTACCATAAATAATACTATACTAAACATATAATTACTTATAATAGCCACAAACATAAACTACCATAAATAATACTAAACTGAACATATAATTATTTATAATAGCCACAAACATAAACTACCATGAATAATACTAAACATATAATCATTTATAATAGCCACAAACATAAACTACCATAAATAATACTATACTAAACATATAATTATTTATAATAGCCTCAAACATAAACTACCATGAATAATACTATACTAAACATATAATTATTTATAATAGCCACAAACATAAACTACCATAAATAATACTATACTAAACATATAATTACTTATAATAGCCACAAACATAAACTACCACGAATAATACTAAACATATAATTACTTATAATAGCCTCAAACATAAACTACCATGAATAATACTATACTAAACATATAATTATTTATAATAGCCACAAACATAAACTACCATAAATAATACTATACTA